CTTTAATTTACCCATCAAGAAGTCCGGTCGAACCCATCGTACCTGGAAGATTCAATATCCGAAAAACAGGCTTCAGGGAAGAGCACATCGGGTGGGTGGTCCTTTCAAGACATTTTGGGCAGGAAGGGGAACAAGAGCAGGGGAGAGATGGAACTCTTCTCATTTTTGTTGGCATTGATCGGTGGAGAGTTGCGTCGGTTTTGCATTAAGACACACAGAGAGCATATGGGCAACCTACATTACACCAACGACTGTTTTAAAAAATCTACATGGCTTCAGCAAAAATTTCATAATGTATCATTACTTTGCAGGTTACAAGTTTTTATCGTTTGATTAAATCGCTATACAACGGTTAAATTCGCCTGAACTGCCGCTTGAATTTAAGCCAAGATATCTTTAGTTTATCACTTGTCTTTTTTACTGACACTTCTAAAATGCAATACAAGTCATCTTTGATAATTTTGGAAAATAGTTACCTAATTTTATTCTTGAAGACAGTTTAAAATTTCTTGGTAGTCGTTACACTCATGAAACAGACATAGGATATCAATGATTCGCGTAGCAGGAGGGGAAGAAAGAGGCGGGAAAAAGGACGGACCGATGGGCCCGCGTGACGGGGCATCGATCCAAAGGGTTCGATTTCAGGCCAATGGGAGCCGCTTCCCGTACCGCAGAGTAGTCTACGAGTCAATTTACCAGGAGGAAATGTTTACCTGGTTGCTGGAATTTAAGTGCCAGCCAGCCTGGCTAAAATTGTGTGCATGACGAGCTCCGAGTCGGCCGAGTCCGAGTAGGACCAAATTACTAACACGGTCGCATATTACTTTACATCATGACATACAGAAAAATATAAACTTGATAACTGATAAAGCGGAAGAATATTGGATTTGCTTCCGTACGGACCTTGTTCCATTTAAATATTGGGGATTCGTTGTATATTTCAAGTCAAAAATTTCTTTGACCCAAACACAATATCCAAACTAACCGAAGTTATAGAACTCGGAAATCGGAAATCTCGGAAATCAATATAAACCCTTATCAATATGATACCCATTTAAAATCGCATTCCATCATATGTTGCCACAAGGGCCCCCTCATTTAGACGCGGCTCACTCGTCTCGTGGACGAGCGTGGTTTGAAATCCAAATCCGAAGAAATTGTGTGGTGATTTAATAGGATCTGATAGGGCCTTGGGTCTAATTACACACAGCCTTTGCCAAGCTATACGAACCTCTTCTTCAAGGAGTTCATCAAATGATTTTGCTATCGTACGTAGATAGCACTCTGACGACATTGGCTGTCGCATACGGGGTGACGCTATAACGATATTACCCAGCTAAATAAACTCCACAAATCCAACCAATTGTATTTTACAACTAAACAGAGAAACTTTTTTTCATTGTGTTCAGTGAACGCATGCAAGAAGGACCTTTTATATGTGGCTGCTATTCTTCCCGTTCTATAAAGATTATCTCCTCTTTTTTATGCAATAGAACTACTGATGAAAAGAGGTGTACGCAAAACAGGAAGCATATAGAGGCAATGATGCAAGAAGCTGTTCATTTGGAGTATACACTCAAAATTGAAAGCTATTTTGTTTACAGAGAAGGCTAACGATGTCACAATTTGACAGACAGTAACCCTGAATCAACATTTCGATAAAATTGCATTTTTAAACATTTGTGCAAGAAACCACTGTTTTAGTGGCGTTTACGACAGTATTCCTTACTTTCTGAGATTGCTGCAACTGTCTTTCATACCGACCCTACCAACTTACTCGTTGACCGGCTAATCAAATTCTACATTTAGCTGATTGCATGGTGGTGGGAAAATCCATTGAGGTGGCAACGTAATCGCATTGTGGTTATGGCGATTTAGCAGGTCGTGACTCCCTCGTGCGTAAATCGTATGAAGGGAAGCTTCATTGGTTGCAATTGGATCAGAAAAAAATTTCAGCCGGGTGGTATTGCAATTCATTACGTGCCATCCTGTTTGTTTAATCCATCAACCACATCTGGCACAGGAGGGCACTGTTTAGTTATAACTAACTCACTTGCAATCGGAAATTACTACAGTACTTGGGGCATTTTGGTATTTCCTCAAATGGAAACCATCAGACGTTAATGCAAGTGTCGACAAAAGTAGCGAGTTTCAAGCATGCTGTGCGCGACTATGCAGTGAACTTATAATTGAAAGGAGCGACTATACTTTACGGAGTTATGTGAGTAGGTCACAAACCGATGAGTGAGTAATAAGGTAGACACGTAAAGTGCACATTCACACACATAAAGGGTACACTTCTGTCGTTTTATACTCGACCAAGTAAACGACATATATTCGAGTGCAGTGTACCGGTGCTCTTCCCAGCGCAAAATCCCAAGAGCGACAGAGGGGGAGTGGCTTAGGTTTTTCAGAGGAGGTGCTGATCAGTTATTGCACTTTTTGACCGTACTTTCTTCCCGAGGTATAATGATAGCTGTCGGTGTCACCGACGAAAACACAGAACTTGAAAATGGGGATACTAAGTTACTTTATGATAAACCAGACAACTTGAGATTAAGATATTTTTTGCACAACACTCTCTGCCAACATGCAACGTTTCTCCGACGGAGAAAGATAATTAGTCACCCGATATGTTTTCCTCCCGCGTAGGTAAATCAGGCTGCTCCAGCCTACGGCTGGGTAAGACAACCAACATGAGCCAGTGGACGAGAGCTGGATTGGGAATGTCTTGGAAATAAATAACGAGACAGTCAAACAAAATCCGAACTCCTGCTCAATGTTTACAACACAGCCGACGATTGAAGGTTTGACGAAAACAACCCGACGGGTGCATTCTCGGAATTCTCCTCAACTTCAAAACATCCTCAAAGCTGTATGCTTCCGAGCCGGACTTACTACGTACATTGATGAGAGATCAACGGATATAACCCAGTCGCGGTATAAGAGTAAAAGGGGAAAAAAAGAAGCCCGAGAAAAATATCAAGCTCGGTGTTAATATTTCCCCCGCCTCTTTCTGACTAAGATGACCAATTTCAAAGTCGCGGGGTTTGAGACGCTCAGGATGGTTCCAGAAGGTGTGTGACGCCAATTAATTGGCTACTTTGACACCGCGAAACTATCCGACGACTGTTTCCGTTGAACAATTCCATGATGTCTTTTTTTTTCGTGTGAGCAAAAGTGAACCGTTGCTGACTACATCAATAAAAACATCGATGTGAAAATACAATCACCTTCATTTGATGTACTCCACATACGTCATAAACAGTAAGTTTATCAAACACAATTTTCAGGAGTTCAATTCATGACAATAGGTTTATCTGTTTATTCAAAAACTGCATGCTTTACAAAGAATATTCAAATTATCCCCCTTCCATAAAACTTGCTTCACTCAGGTAAAATGTTTGTTTTGCTTGTTGTTCTTTAGTCTATTAAACGTAAAACATGGAAGAATCACAGGTTGGTGAACACGTGGTGAAAGCCCTCTGTAGTTTTGAATAGGACCTGGCGGTCTATGCGTTTATATGTCTGTGCAAAGGACAGATACATCTGCTGGCACCAGTGTCTCAAAGTCTCCCATTAACTTCATGTTCTCAACAAGCAAATGTTTCACTTCACTTGACAGATGGGCCGTCATAAAACAGTCGTTGGTACCGTCGGTTTCCACGTAACTTAATCAGCGCTATGGATTATGGGTTATTTTCCAACGTATCTTTTGGTACCACTGCACTGCCAAATTTGCTGGTTTGTAATTTCATCATAAATGGATTAGAGTCTCGTAATAAGATTCGCGGGATTTTTGGACAGTTACGTGAAGTGACCCTTTTAACCCATTTTTGCAGGGGACTTGTAAGAATCGGCAATGGGAAGTAAGATTATTATTATTTTCAATTTCAATTGTCCTTTTTATTGAAATTAATCAGTAAGGACATACAAAATCCTTTTGCTAGTTTAATTTCTTTCCTTCTACTCATTAAAAGCTACAGTTAGTTCCCCACATGTGTGAGAATAAATCTATCAATACATCCGGAATATGAGGGGGGGAAATGCGCAAATTTAAGTTTGCCGATCCTGATGCGTATACCTGTATGGAGAATACCCGAACATCGGATTTTTTCGGTAAAAATTTTCTTTATTTTTTTTGCATTACGACAGTCGAGAGGGAATAATAGTGGCAGATGTTTGCCGCAAGGAGTTCAAGATTACGTACAGAACCCTGTGGATCTAATGAATACACTTCCCCGTTGGCTTTGTTGGCATATCACAAAATGACGTCAAGAAATCGTCTTTTGGTGCATCAAAATATGAGCTGGACCAGCCGTAAGTATGTAGCAAGATTGTCAAGATTACTGGTACGGGGGCAAAGAGTCTGGGTTTGCTGCTGGTGACAGAGGAACCTTTCTTCTCATCACTGCAGTCTTATGTGTAAACTGCTTATCTGATGTCAAAATTAATGCGACATAAAGGACTAAATTCATTCGTTTTCGATGAGTGGAGTCTGTTTGTTGGTAACATGTTAGCTTTTTTCGGTTGAGGCACATGTAGGGTTATCTCAATAGGGTCCATGTAGTTGTAAGGGTGTGGTTATGTCTGCGAGGCATAGAATGTTGAAAGCTTTAGATTTAGACGTTTACAAGTGAAGGAAGAAAAGTACGCACACGGCTAATTTTTGGGTATGGCAAGATAGACACGAGTACGAAGGAAATATTCTGTATTAGACAGTTTGGGGTATAAAATCGCTGTTTTGTACATTTCAAAAACAAGTATTGAACCATTCATTAAGTTGGGTACATAAAAAGTATATGGTACGAGGTTGAAAAAGGTCAAAATACTATGAGCCTCGAGCTGGATCAAGAGAGGTCGGAACTGAACTTAGCTGGTTCACAAGCCTACAAAATGCACGTGTTACGGTCGCATTGCTACTTACAGGGGGGTGCTTCTGCTCGAGGCGGATAGGGCTTAAAAGGGGTTGCTAATAAACCAAGGCACATGCAACTTACCAAGGTATGGCCACTTGTGTGTGGTTCAGAAGGATATCCATATTCATGAGGTTTGGCTTGATGCCTGAGCTTCAAAGAAACCCTGAAAGTGATAATATAACGCACATTATTTTCAACTACAAATCATAATCAACGTCCCTTGCTCCCTAGAACCTTAAACGGTCCGCCGTTCTCTCTGAGAGTTCCATACATAACTGAAGTATGTCAGAGGCTTCCTACTTTGTGGCACATTCATAAATTACAATCGAGACAATGACTCATCGCATGTGAACGTCACACAACATTGAAGTAAACGCTTTGATGATAACCGTGCTAAGGTACAAGGCATACCATATCTCCTGAGCTTGGCTGTGTTCTTTATCCCTGTCCTATTCAAATCCTTTAAAAGCCGCCCATGATTCTCTCAAATATTTGGTCTTATGACATGTGAAGCTCCCGTACAAACCCCACAATACGCTGCTCCATAAATAGCGCCTTTACTATTCATGCAATATAAAAAGAGAAATCATGTCACTCTTCACAGCTGGAAGGTTTGGCGCGGTAGGTGCTACAAAATGAAGCAGGTCGCGTCCGTTCAAGGAAAATACTCATCAACTCCATGACTCGTGAAAGTGTATTTTGGGGGCTGAAGCTGTGAAATGGTTTCTGTTCAGCCGTGGGATCGGAAATTAAGCTCTCTGTAACGTACTTGAGGGGATGGTGGGTTTACCGCTTGAATTGAACGCGTTGGCGATCTAGAACCTTGGGTTGAGCACTTTGTGAAGTCGCTTGCCACGGAACTTTCTAGTACGCCAATAAAAGCTCCAGAAATAGCCGTTGTGACGCGTGGGTGAGAAGACATTTCACTGATGACAGTCAAAATGAAATAACAGTCGCCCTCAAGCGAGGAGAATTCCCTAAATTTATCTACCTATGCGAGCTGGTTTCAATGGAGAAAAGTGTTAAACTGTAGTGGTTGTCTTCAGAAATAGGCATATTCAAATAGGATAATGCCAACAAAACGGCTACCCGCTTGAAATATCCATTTTAAGAACTGGGCCAATGGTAAACCACTTTCGCTTGAGTGCATGACAGGTGAGGGTGCAATCCAGTGGATAATGGAGAGACTTTATCAGTTTAAACATTGACAGCAAAGCAACCAAGTGACTTAAATACGATTACGTTCTAATAAAGCGCTGTAGCTCGTCGTTCACCAGTCTCTCGCAAGTGAGTTCACATTTTCAGTGCAAACTCTGCCAAATTGACCTGCATATGTCACACAAATCGAGCGATTCTTTTTAATAGGAGCGCCCGATATTGCGCAGCACTGCGGTGCACCCTTGCCCGCTAAATAGATGCAACTTTTCGGTGGGCACTGCGCATTTTACATTGGAATCAACTGAGGCTAACGGCTTTACAACAACAAAAAAGACAAAGTTTGTGTTGTGTTGAGTTGATTTACAATACACTGAATGCATTCTAGGCAGGGTTATGGCATGTGCTGTATGTTACCCGGGTAACGGTTTTCTGTCCGTGTACGCATGCGTGCGAAATCCCAGGCACCATGGAGTCTAAGCACTAGCTTTTCAACGCCCGTAAACATAGTAATGCGACAGGGCAACAAAAATATCTTGATCCAGATGACTTAGGCTGGAAAAATTACGATGGAATGATTTGCATGGAAGAAACTTACTGACAAACTAAACCCGAATTAAATTAACTTAAATTTACAACAAACTTGCCTCCGAAAAGGCGTTGAAACCTACAGTGCCCCTGGGTGAGGACAAACTAGAAGAAAAATGGGTCCAATTTGAACTACTCTATCCCAAAAGAGCGCTGCCAAAAAAAAAGTAAAAAATTACTCTAAGAAAAAAAAATCGTCTAAAAATTTAATCAATCATTTGTAGGGTAAGTTTACATTGTGTTCCAAATTCTTCGGGAGTCTAGATGGAACGATGTTACGGGGCAACAGTCACGAGCTACTTTGCTTTTGGTGGCCAACGGTTCCTATGACATCGACAAAGGGCGCTGTACTTCTCCTACAGCTCAGCCGTTTATCGTTGAAACAATAGTGCGCCATGTTATCATACGACGCGTCTCTTTCCGCGCCAAAGTTCCCCTGCGGGATTTCCAATCGTTGGCCTGTCTTACGCTATCACTTGGGTCTATAGGATGGAATACTGAGAGTGGGAACAGTTCTGATAACGATCCTCGGGTCTGTAATTGCGGGTTGGGCCCATGACAATCGAGTCAAGCTTCCTTACCGACACTCCAGCCAAAATAAAGAAAAAGATCCCTGGGCGTCTCGGACATAATATCTTGCAAGAATCCAGCCTTGGTAAGGTGACAATTCCATGTTTGCTGTGTCACACCTTACGACTATTAAACGCCTCAGCAACAGTGTTGGTTTTCAGACGAGTGTTAGACTTGGAAAAAATATACCAAATCGGTTGCGAAAAATGAAGTGATGAGAACTGAGATTGGGAGCTTGCTGGAAATTGTTATATAGTACAATGGCTTGCCTGCTGCTTTTAATGTTTTCGTAATTAAATGCAAACAGAAAGTTACAGTGGCTACAACTCGGCCTACTGTAAAATTTACATAAACGGACAGGTTCCCTCATGTGGCAGACAGTAGAAATATCAAACAACCCTTAAATCATTGCCCACTGCAACACATCTACTTATGCTAAATGTACTGGTATTCAAACAGAATTCAAAGCACAGCGTGTAAAATTGATTTCCCATAATCAAGTTGCGTTAAGCTACGTAAAGAACTATATATTACTTAATTTTTGTTTGGTTCAAAGCTTTGTCCCAATCATGCAAAAATCAGCCACAAGAAATACTCCATGAATAAGACTTTTACAAGTTTTTTATCTACTGTTCATAGTGACTCAAAGAAATCGACACCTGTTCTTCGAGAGATAAGCCTAGATTCAGTATAAGGAAGAGGAAAAGAATGTCAGTTACTTTGTAGTTCTTTGTGACGTGTTGAGGAGTCGATGCCCTTTTGTAAAATGCCACTCCTTCACGGAATTGTTGCTTCATATAAAAGGCATTGCTAGTCAGACATTCAGCTGGCATGGTCATTGACACATTTCTGATTCGCATTGATATTCAAATTGCCCCCAATGCAGTCACATACATTGCATGCCATGGTTAAATGTTTGCGTTACTGCATATTCCAATATATCGTCTTCGGCCATCTCCTGACTGAGCCCAATAGTTTCATGACGGAAGCTAGCATGCTTTTCAAAGATTTTGAAAGAATCACCAATCAATCCTTTCTGTAAAACAAAACAAATTGCTTACATTCTTGCCATGTAAGTACAAAGTTTATAACCCTCCATTCTCACTTCAGCACTGTGCAACTTCTGTTTTTCTGCCAGATCAGTGCTAGCAAGCTTAGGCCAACACAAAAGTTTTCGAAATGGAAATATATATCCCTTGCACATTTCTTCATGCCACGTTTACCTTGTGGCATCGCGGTATATAGCCTGTCGACAACAGAAAGCTAAGTACGAGCGCCCCGAACATGTAGAATGTTAAGTTATTCATCTATTTCGAAAATGTGCTTTTGGAAAAAGGCTACAAAGAATATGTAGCGCATGCAACTACTAAATGGAAGTCATTGATATCTTGTCCTGAACAGGAACTCCAACGGGTTCGCTGGTAACCATACATTCAATCGCTTTATTAACGAATCATCCATGGAAAAACTGGTTGACTGATGACAACTTCATTACCACCTTAAGTTCGTCGACTATAAACAGAGTACAGTGTGCACGTGTGCACAGTAACAATTTGTCTTACCTTGCTCAAATTTCTTGGCAAATCCTTAAATTGTCGAAAATGCTGCTGCATAGTGAAACCCTGTATCGCTGGCAACAAGAAAAGTGCCGCCGAGGCCGCATCAAAATGAGAGAAAACAAAGGAGGAAATTAGAGTACAGGTTGCTCGTGCACACGACTGACAATCGCCGTGTAAAGAACCACTCTCGTTTCTGTTATTCGATTACCAAAACCCGAAACCGATTTGGTGGACTCAAGCGATGAATCGATTAGTCGTTCGCGCTGATTCCTCTAAGTTGGCAGGCCGGGTCTCACTTAAGCTATATATGCAATCACACGTATGAAGCCAAACCACGGTTCACAACCATGCACAATGCATGACATCTAGATGCTCAACCAACCATAAAAACTTCACGTGTGAAATTAGGCTCCAATAACATTCGGGCTTTATTTTCCTTTAAAAAAAACAACTTGCTGCTGCCCACAATTCCGACCCGTGATTCGAACCCACACCCCACGCCCCACAAGCCATTATGCCGTAACCGCTTGACTACCGCATTTCACACAAAGGGATGGTGTTTTTACTGTTGGTATAACGATGAACGGCTGCAACGCAAGTCTAATAGACATTGGGCATGCGCAATACAAACACAACCATCGTGGTTTGGCTTCATGCGTATGGTTGCATATATATCTCCTCACTTGGGCCTGTGGCTAAGGGAGGGGGGGGGTTGGCCCGAGGGGCTCCCCGTAGGGAAGCTGCCCCCCCCCCATCAGTAAAGAGCATAAGTATGAAAAATATATTTTGCTCCTTTGTTGTGACCTCATAGCTGATACCGCGGTCCCCCCCAGCGCTTGAAGCTTGCGAAGGGGCTGGTCTCACTTAGGAGAGATTCTTTTAAAACTAAAACAACCGACTTGTTCCAGATTGAAACGCAGATATTTATCAATAGTGAGAAAACCTTTAACTCGAGAAAGAGTTCAAAATCAGACATCCGTTTGTTTCCGATATGAGCTTACTGTGTTTTCTCATTAGTATTATTCTTGTCCCCTTTCTTTCCAGCAGTGAGATTACGGTTGAATTTCTCATTTGAACAGTTTATTTCGAGTAAAAAGTATCTGCCAAGATTAAATTCTCAATACCAGTTCGTGTGTGCAACTGGCAGCAAGGAATGTTTGGCCGTTGGTGGCGCTGTTGCAGGGAAACGTTTGTTCAAAAGCTTCGGGAAGGCCACCTGCTTGATCATGCCCGAGTGCCACAAACATGTAAAATTGAAAGCGCCCTCTTTACATGTACATGAATTAAATTTTAAATAATAGGCGTATGGCGTATCTTTCACATCAATTTGTGCAGGAAGCAGAAATAATGCAAAGAGGGGCAGCTTGATGTTAAACCAGTTCCTAATAGTGACATCATTTCCACTTTTAACCCATGTCTACCAAAAGCGAATCAGAAATGAAAAGTATTGGAACCGGAAATTAACACCAGCCGCCCATGATGCGAATATGTGCAAGGCATCGGTGGGGTGCGAGCGTGATATGACGACGTCAAGTAAGAACCGAGTGATCGATTCTGCACTTTAATGTTGACTTGCTTTTGTCTGTAAAGAAATATGCATAACTGTGGCATTCGTTCTTCCCAACGACCCACACAGGCCGCTGGGAACAAGCAAACTTCCGAGTGACGGTAATATTTTAATTGCTCATTACTGGTCGTTAATCCTCACCCTTTTCTCAAGAAATTTATGCAGAATGGGTTGATACAGGCTTCCTTACTATGAAATTTAACCATATGTTTACATTAAAACATATGACAAAACAGGTTATGAGTACATTATATTCTGATGTTTCATTTTATTCTATCCAAGACACTTGAATCAGCCTTTAAGTCTTCCTCACTTACGATCTTTGAAATAAATAAAATAAATATAGCAGATTGATATCTTTATTAAAATCTCCGAAAAATTTGGAACAATGTATACAGTTGGGAGTTTAACAATATTCCCGTCTCAATGAATTATCTAGTTTCAAGACGTTGGGAAAATAAACCATAATTCATTGTAACATTATCACATCGTCACATTTATCTGCTCCATGTAAATTGGCTCAAATCGGAGATGTTAATACAGCGGCAGAGGGCGCCATGGCTAACACACGGATAATCTCTCAACAGAAAACTCGTACAAATAAACTCGACCAGGTCATTTCACATAGGTGCCAATTTGGTATCTTTCAGAATCTTACCCTCTCTTAGTTGCCTGCCATCAGTTTCTGCAGCTTTTAGACAGTGCAACATAACTTTAATGAGTTAGTACAGTAACGAAGAAGTTTAAGGATAAATGGTACACTGCTAAGCTCTTCGATCTTTCATAATTGTGGAAAAATTGCATGTTTTTCAAATGGATATATTTCATTTTGGAATTAAACCCTTCTCTTCATTTAAGAATGACCGGAGTTGTCTTTTTCATTTGGAAGAATGTGAGTAAACTTGCATTTATGTTTATCACGAAGTAATACGAGTGTTTCACCAAAGTGCGCCCTCAAGAGTTTGCGTTGCAAACTCTTGGAGAAGCACTATTCTGAACCGCCCATATTGAAACGTATGTTAATAAAAATATGGTTTTGAAAGTTAGCGCCGAACACGTATCAAAGACCAATACGTTACGTTGGGCAGTGACAATGACATGACCATTTGTTGGTAAAATTTACCTTTTTTCATCCATAGTTTTTATTTTCAGAGCACTTTTTCATACCTTGATCAAAATAATCCCACACATGGAGCATATAACAAAAAATGCAACTATCAAGAGAAATTCAAATTAAATTATTCCTCAAGAAAACTTGCTACAGTTGGTTAAGAATTAACTATACAAGCCTTTTACACTGACTGAGATATTATTTTACAGCGACAAGATAAAAATCACCTTTTAATAACACAGTGAAAGTCCAAGTTAATTGGAGACAGTTCATTCATTAAGTTCCTGGTCAATGAATGTCGAACACCCTAATGCATGCAGTACAGTTTGCTGAAGTTATCAGAGAAAATCTTTTACAAGTTACGGGCATGGTAACTGAGGCATCGTATACAAACGCATGCATGTTGGCAACCGTCGACAATCCAGACTTCACAAGACTGAAAACTATTGCAAAAAGATATGGAATAAAATTATTTGTCCCACAAACCGATAATGAATTTGGCACTGTGGATCATAAGACATTGTGGGGGACGGTACGTATCATAGAACGTTTACCAGACTGCCAAGTTGGGAAAAAAGGCCTCAATTTGCATCCAATTGACAAAAATTAGCGTCAAGTCACAGTGAACGAAAAATAGCGTCACTGCACATTGCGTCTACTTTCGTGTCAACATTTTGGAGAAGTTAGGTCTTCGCCGCTAACACATCTCGAATTGAACATCTAATGACTCACAGACTATTTTGTAATAGCGCCCTCTTTCACTTTAATCAAATTGGCAAACAACCTCAGTCCATGGCTTTGAAATTATTGGGCGGCTGAACGGTACACACACTTTTTTGACACACTTCAACCATTCTGACCATTTACAAATATTAAGCTGGTATGCTTGTTTATACTGTTTATGCTTTTACGGACCAACGGGTAACTATCGTTCACGAGATATACCTGATAAAATACAGTCTTCTTTGCAAGAAATACTTTGGTTTCATTCTCTATCCGGCAAGCACTGTAAATGACAGAACAACAATATTGTTTGAAGCTCACGATAAAAATGACCACTCAAAATAAACAGTGGGAAAAATTCAACAATTTTGAATTTTGCTGTACGGTTCCCTTTCAACAGGACACAATACAATGTACATAATTTTATTTTAAAAACCATTATTGTTCTCTTGTCCATTCCTTCACTATATTTGTTCTTTAAAGTTATTGTGCCATTCACATTGTTAGCAGCGGAACAACAGACGTGGCTATCTCAGGGTATAGAGCAACCCCTCCCCACATTACTTCCTCTTCAGTGAACATGTATTGTGAAGGTAATTTAATAGCTCTGTATGCGTCACTTGATTTTATTAATTGGCGTCCTTTGAAACAAAGTTCATATATAAATAATAGAAGTAACCTCTTTAATGTAAAACAATACTGAGGCTGATAAACTAATTCGGAATCTTCGCATCGTATTTTTTTGTGAAATACTGGCTCAACTGCTTAGCACATGGAAAAGGGAATCGGTGTAACAGTTGATGAGAACAAAAAGAACTAAATTCAAAAGGAACAGCACAGATGAAGAGATCTCACAGAGTTGTTGGTCTTTCCGAAGATTTCTGCCCCACCTCATTAGCTGGTAATGGTTCGATGTCACACACCTTTATGCAGTTAGCTCCAATGTTAGTCTATTGTTTCGCCACATTACACACTATTTATAAATTGAAACGAGTCACAGTGTAATCTCTTAGTGTCCTTCACCTTTCTCTCTCATCTCTTGACTTGCAAATTATTCTAATTTCCCTTCTTTTCATTTCTTTCTCTCTCAAAGTCTCGTTGCTTCCAACAGCATGTACAGCCTGCATAATATAACAAATCAAGTTTTGCTCATTGCTCAATCATTTACATCTTCGTTCTTTCCACTTTGCTGCCATTCCAAACACCTTTGCACTAACCAAATTATGGCCCACAACTCTCCCTTTCCCAATGCGTCATCATTCTCACTATCCACTCGTATTTATGCTCGGCACAATACCGCAATCAAAGTCCCGAACATGTCTCTTAGATTCTGATGGGAGCCTCTCTAATGCTGCACATAAGGAGATTCTGATCAATCGTAACGTGTCAAGAAACTCGTCCTTCGTATCTCTCTTCAGCGTTATGTCCAAATTTGGCCTTTAAATCGTTCTCATCTGCGCACATTTCAAAGTTTCACCTCTGTACTGATGTTCCTTTCTTACGTTGTGATTGTTTCACTTGTTACTATTATACTTACTCTCGCATTAGAAAGCAGACATCGTATTTTTTCCACTTCCCATAGTTTAGCAGAGACTAACTTCAAAACAGTGCGAACGCACGATAGGTGCCACATAATGTGCTTTTGACTTGAACTTCACCGAAGTGGGGCGAATCTTACCTTTAATGTTGCCGTATGACCTACGTACTTGAGACTGCTTGTTAGCAAAAATCCTCTCTGTTCTTTTTTTTTTTTTTTTTACAAAACCTTGATGTGTGATTAAAGCATAGGGAAATAAATTATTGTCAAGATTATTGGTTAAAAATGAAATGAAAGCTTAAAACATTCGCTCAGCAGGGTTCAAGCTAGTTAAAGACGGCGCTAAACAAAACAGAGCCTGGCAATAATTATCTGCTGTCAGATATAAGCACTTACGAAATGCTTCTCCTTGACACCAGACCAAGATGGCGGCAGGTTAATAAAGGTCAAGGGTCATATGCTCTACAGGTAGAGCGCATGCCACTGTTTAGAAGCTTCTCTCGTGCTTAACATCTTCCCCCAGTGGCTCAAGCTGCGACCCTGCGTGTAGGTGTACGGGCCAAGAATCAACTGTCCAATGACCGAATCTTTCTTGAAGTTGTGACCCTTCTGCATGACCTGAATGAGAAGGAAGGAATCTGCCATGAAGGACATGGGTAAGACGAAGCTCAAGGATTCCGTGAAGACTGGGTCAGTGGTGCCCCGTGCTGGTGGTGTACGGCGACTCTTCACTTTTTCACTCCCGCACATCAGGCACACTTTAACGAAGGTTTCTGAAAGATAATCGGTTTAGAGATAAAGATGTCATCGACAACAATCGTTTTGACCTCAAAGATCAGGCAAAAGCCAGATAGGCATGAAATCTGGCGAACGACCTACTGACTGATGCAACATAGTTTGGCGGTAAAAACCAACTTTAAAAGACGTCAATAGTTGCCATGCTTATCACTTCAAATTTTTAAATGGATGAAACTCTGTATCGTGAACACCTCCCAAAAGGAAAACAGCTATTGTGGTATCAGAAGAACATTACAGGAAGGAAACTGAATTACAATGCTCTTGCTTTCAATTACTGATGCGTCCAATCCAGAAATAATTTGCATCGGGCATTGAATAGTTCAACAAGCCTTGGTCGACATGGCTGCTGATCAATTGTCACTTGAACAATGCAGCACTACTATACATTGTTTGACAGTTTCCCAAATGCCCCGAAGATACCTTGAAAAATGCGAACTGTCTCGTCTTTGGTTTCAGTCAGAGGCTACCATTAGACACATAAAGCATTATTGTGTCTAGAACATCCTTGGGGCTTAATGCAGTTACGAGATATGCCCCCAAATCGATTTCATGCACGATTTTTTAAATGAAGTATCCGGTAACGCCAACCCTATTACATCACTGCCTTTATTATTCCTTTCTATTATTAGAATATCAAAAACATCAAGAGTCTGAATCGGATAAAACTGGGATACAGAAGTGCCAAGACCTGAATCTGAAATAACAGCTTGTTAAAACGGCAGAGTAATCCAGACTTAAACGTGACGTCAATCCCAAGTGGTTTTGCCGTTGGGCGCAAAAGCCGAGGACTCAACACTAGTAAAAAAAAATTACCCCTTTGAATATGAGACAGCCGGTCGGTGTTCTAATCCAATAGTCGTCTATTTCAAATCATTTCCAAACCTTTCCAAAGATAGCATCAGCAATGTCAGAGTGCAACCCGAAAATAACTTGCTCACTTTTCCCTTTTATCATGTCATAAAGTGGGCAGCGAGAGATTGATTTCCCGTCAGAAAATCCACTCCTTAAGTACAAGAGGAAATGTTAAAGACAAATAATGTTAAACAGACTTCAGTCGGTTAGAGTCGAGACTCCACGTGGATGATAGAACGACATGTATGTATGTAGACAACTATTTATGAATTATCAGATATAATAAATTCACATGAGTAAGTTTTCCAAAGGTTAATGTTGATGTTCAAGAACGGATATGATGCGTAACTAACCTACGGCTGATTTCTCAAAGGGACGCCAGCTAAACAAATCGTTGAACATAAAACAACAAATAATTACCAGAACACTGATGTACTTTCTTTTGAAATCTCTCTTCGTTCTAGCTTAACCGTTCCTCTTAATATCAGGCCCCGATTTAAATATGCCTCTTTTAAGCTATAGCTGCTCACAAGTTGCTTCAGGGTGACAGGATTTTTCCATATAATCACATTCAGGCTAATTGCTTGTCGCCACTATTGTTCGTTATTATTATGACAACACCCATGCAGATTACATGATCATACACAAACAACTGAATTAACTTTAAAAAAAAAAAGAAGTACACATCAATCTAAGGCATTGTCGACGATAGCACAAGAAAGCCAGAAATAACTTTTTTTCCATTGCGGTCCTCATTTCAACCAAAATACGTTGATACGTACTGATATTTAATAAATTCGATCACAACACATCTACGGACCACAGTGACCCTCTTTGGAATTGAATTTCATGCATGGGTAAATTTATTCCTTACCTAGATTTTCTACATTAGTCCCCTTTTCTGGAACAATGCCCCTTGCTCGGACGATGAAGCAGGATAATCTGTCTTGAGACGGGAGATAGGCCAACGACAGGTACAGACGACCCAGGTCACCTACAATCTGCATATAAACAAAATGGGGAAAGCTTCAACTAATAAATCTCAGAGCAATATCGTAAAATGGCCTTCAGACTTTGATGATCGTGAGGTTTAAACAGGTCTTCCAAAATCTACACTGTAAGTCCAGATATGAAATTAGTTCATGCACTGAGCGACTACATAGGTAATAACCAGTGTTATAACCTCCAAGCATTTGAATCACAGACGTTCAAGATCAGCTTGGTATAAATTCTGGTGTACAAGTTCTTACTTCAGCTTTCTTCTGTAGCTTCTTCTTCAGCTCCTTTTGTTTACCATCCATGTCGCAGTCTGACAAAGGGATTACCGTGTGCCCGATGGCACAAAGCTTGCTACAATTCTCGGTGTCAAAGACGGACAACCGAACAGCCTGCTGAGAGAAGTCCTTAGCTTGGTCTATGGCAAACTCCATGGAGTCATCGAAGATTGGGTTCAGGGTTTCCTTAACGACTTTGGACTTGAGAACTAGCTTCTCGTCGGGAAGGAGGCAGCCATGGACAACTGTGTCGGCGCCCTCTCTTTGACCTTTGGCTGGAAGGTCGGTGACATTGTATAAGTGTACTGTTACCCTGGTAACATTAAAATAAACAAATCATTTGTCATAACATGTAGAATTAGAATGTAGACTTAAATGTCCCGATTTGGACATAAATGTCTGAGCTTCACAACTGAAAATAACCTTTACTGTAACTTGTTTAATTTTGGAGACGAAATGTGGATAAGAACATAATTACATGACGTATTTTGTTCCCAGAATAACTCATCTTACCACATCTACATCTAATTTGCATCATCTACGTTACCTCTTGTACCTTCCCATGATCTAGAAGTCAAGGACGACAGTAGCAATAAGCGACTTACATGAGATCTGCGAGTGTCATATCTACTGATCAATCTTATTTGCAAACTGATCCACTAAAGATACCCTTCTCTTCTGCATCCTGACCTTTGCCTGTGCTGCTCGTATTTGATCGCCAGGGAGATTGTACCATACACCTCTTCAGCGACCTCCTCGTCTTTCTTGTTCTTCTTGCCGCTACTGACGAGTACTGGCTTACTGTACCCAGTATCTTCTGTTACGTACAGTTCCGGTTGAATCTGACCAAGTTCGCAGGAGTAACTTAAAATGACAAAAGAGAAGATTGACGCTTGCATCATTAACAATAGTTTCGACCAAAAAACGGAAGAAACTGAAGTGAAAAAAAACTTCTCAAAACTCTAAAGTTGACTGAACTTTTCTTGATTTTGAGTACATCTTCCAGAATAAACCAAAGTATGGTGATCCATTTACATAACTGCAGTTGTGATAAAATGTTAGTTGAAGTTGCAATATTAAGATTAGTGAGTAAAACATGCCGCCGTTTTGCCAACAACTACAAGATATGACTTCTTCCTGTTGTGGTAATGCACGTCATGCTATCACTTCGAATTCGGCTCTGTTGTAAGAATGTGACATCCTCCAAAATGTCACCCAATCTAGCAAAGTGGGTCCCAAGTCACCAGAGCCATTTTCGAGGGAAAGGCCTTCAAATGAATCTTACACAAAATAAAGCGATAGGAACCTTTGATACGAACTTTTTTCCTCCACAAATACATCGATAAGAACTTTCAATACGAACATTTTACCTCCATAATGCCCACTTGCATCAGGATTTTAAAAAGACTGACGAATCAATACAAAGAAATCAGTCTGCTCTGTACACTGCAAACTAAAACAGCTCTTGCCTTACGACTCGTTTTATAGGATCTGGCTACAAATCATGACACTTGCCGTATCTGTAATGTAGCCCGGACCTTCTGTAAGTAGAATTTACGAAGAGCTCTTGAAAGCGTAAAGGGATAGGATTAAGTCAGGTAATCATTACCGGACTGACTCCAAACTTCTCTTTCGTTTTCTTTCAGGCGTGGGTGGGGCTGACAGCGTGTTTCTTCGGATATCTTCGCTGGACTTTGACACTTCTTCAGCAGACGAGGGACTATCCTCCTCACTGTAATATGGGTCGGTTCCTTTACAAAGAAACAAAAGTCGAATTATCGTCTATAACGATTGAAGCCTAAACATTCTCGTGTCGAGTACTCGTAATTCCGTTCACATGCAGAGCTATTTGATCAAGGAGATTGTTCTCAAATATTTTCCTCCTCGCCCAGCGGAGATTTGGGGCCAATTCTCTTTGGTAAATGGGCAAAAACCAAAGACTACCACACGCATTGACACTTCACGTGTCAGAATCTATCAAGAAGTTGTTGATGACGTCACAGCGCACATAATGCGTGGGTGTGTGTGGCACACGCCGTAGCGTCTGCTGTGGAACTGCAGGATTTGGAGGGAGATTTGTTCAGACTTTTAGTTGGAGGAGAATCTGCCGCATATGCACGCATCAGTGAATTCCATCCGCCCCCGCTTTCCATACAGCCCTGGGGACATTATCTCGTTCGTTCTTTTTCTCACCTCCTCACCAGATCTCCTGGAGACACAGCCACTAAACTACCTTGACCCGAATCACACAAGGCCTGAAATACAAACACGCAACTTAAACTGCTTCCACCAAACTGAGGCGGGAAACTTCAGGGAAGAAAAGGTGAGGGTTGTTGAGACACATTTCGTTGCTTGGTGGCGCTCCCCTAAAGGATTAAACGTAGGACAATTCCTTAGATCGTGTTCCCATAAAAATCTCATATTCATGGCGACAAAATCATGTTGCCTACTCCCATACCCCATAGTTGTCAAGGACGCTCACTGATTTGCACCACTGTGTATATATCAGTCTGTAAACACAAAACGTAATATAGAGACTGCGTCATTCCATGCAGACACAGTGTGGCCCTACCTAACAGAACTGACCCGGAAGAGAGCATATTTAAGTCCTGGGGAAGTTAGTCGAAAGACAGTTCAACGATTGCTCATACTGACGCGATTCTCGCTAAACAAACCTTTCCTATACTCAAATGCGTGTTGAGGAGACGTCGTAAAATCAGGCTCAAAATAATAAATCATAAAGCAGTCATCGGACAAAATGACATAAAATTTAGAAAAATCTTTACATCGCCCCACTGGATCTCTCCATGAATTTTTGACTTAAACATACCTCAAGCTTTAACATTAGCAATTAGACTTGCTGTGACTTGAAAACTGAAACATTTGAAATTAAAAACTAAAGGCACGTGTACTTTAACACAGACTGCAACCTTTTTATAAATTAAACTAGCACATGCTCAAAATGAAAATAACTTACGACAAATTAATACCACCTGCGCGTCGAGTGGTAACGTCACTCGGTGAAACTTGATTGTGATTTGTTGCTAAGCCAAGGAATTACGTCACTCAATGAATGATACGAGTTCACGAGGGAAAAAACAATATAGCAATGATCACTCGCGGTGCCCTCGTGTGGAAAATTACGGGTTGAATGATGGCATGCGACGGGAAATAACTAAAATCAAGTTTGTGTTATATTCTTGCTTATATAATGCTTGCTGAAAAATGGTAATCAAAGCTTTGTGAAAATCATGTGGTTCACATTTGGTTAAATTAATTCAAATCCAAACTAAATATCAACAACGATAAATCTTCTTTACTCTTTCCCATAGGGATTACACTGCTTTGTTAGAAAGTCGTATTATGGTACTTTATTAATGATTTACTTCATAAAATGAGCGATTTTAATCAACAAGACAGGTAACACTATTTTCAAAACCTTACACCACAAGCATACGAATCCTTTCCATATGAAGAGAGCAAATAGCCAGAGCTACCTCATCTCAAGAATAACGGACTAGTCGTTTTCTTACATTCACAAACAGAGCGTTTCATTCCATATATATATATATATTTATGGGTCGACAGAGTAGACGGCTGAAAGTTGTTGTTCAGTTCACGTCCAGTATTTAGGACTCGCGCTGAAAGGCCTACCGCCGGCCGGATTTCTAGCCATCACAATGATCACATCCCATGCAACGCCACGTTTTGCATTCCAACATTCAGCTCTTGGCACGGCATAATATGTAACAGACGCCTATTGCATGAAGCCCATCACCACGTCCCATTTGCATTGAATGAGCCATAACGACAACACATATTTCACACAATGAGTTCAGACAATAGGGTTTAAGCTCTGTGCTCAGACGGTCTTTTACGATTATTCCTCAAATGACGCGTGGCGCACGGAGGTCAGATATACGCGAATTCAGGATGTCTTCAGGCGGACGATAAAGGCACAGTCTATACCCATCATTGTTGACTTGCATGATCGCAAATTTTGGCGGTGTACGTGTACAACTCGCCCTCCAGCGGTCTAAATGAGTACACAATCCGATAATCGTTATTTGTTGAATGTTAATTGCTGAATGCAAGATGTGGCGGCGGGGTGAACAAACGACAAACGTTACAGACGCCCTCAAGTGGCTCTGCACGAAGGTGAGTTTCTGGGGCAGTTTCCGACACGATTCCGACGGTGTTCTTGAATTGTAGCATGCACAGTTCGTAACAGCTTACAGAATAGGGCATATCTGGCTCTTTAATGCGAATACCACACATCCTTGCGTTGCTGTAGATTTTTTTCACCTTCATGAATATATTCAGTCTTTGCCAACATAAATCTTAACAGTTCAGTGGTAAGAGTTGCTTCATGAAACAGCCGTTGGTTTACACACGGCGTCCCTCGGTCTAAAATCGACCAGCATCCAATGAATACTATTTTACGCCATCGCCGATCACTTTAAGATTCGTAAACGGTCCCCTAAGTGCCCATGTATGTATTAGGTTCCCTGTATCGAGTGAAAAGATATAGTATACTCATGTCAGGCTGTTGGAATAGGAGTGGAACGATGCATATTTGGCATTGAAATATCAGTGGTATAAGGCTTTTTGCAGACGGAACTGTGTAAAATTTGCACTGTGACACTACTAAACTACTCACATATTCACAGCTCTGACAGACTTCTGCATTGCAGCCTAGTATGATTCATGAACTGGGATTATTCTGGGACAAACCTTTTGGGTCGAATTATGCCAGTGATGTTTTAACGATTAATTCCGTCTAATTCTAATGTTTATAGAAAAAGCCGCAGAATAAAGCTAGCCCTGCTTGACAAGTTCAATCTCAATTTTATTTTCATATTCTCAGAATCCTATTACAAATCAAACAGTTTTTCATTCCTGACAACCAAGGGCTATTTTATGTGTTATTTAATGATGAATTAAACGTTCAAAGAAAGTTATGGAAAAGTTTGATATTGGTCATGTTCGAAATTCAAATGTAGCTCTGCCAATATAATAAGTCACCCATTTAAGGGACATCACAACTTTGGTAAACACTAATATCTTAAATAATTGTTTAAGATTCATTTAATGAAATTCGTTACCTTGAGTATTTTAGAGTCAAAATGTAGTTACAATTTTTCAGCGCTTTCTTGGCCTCGTTTTACAGATTCAAGAATTTTCACTTGTGCATTTATTTCCACTCAGTTTTTTTTGGGGGGGCACTAAAATTTTATTTTACACAACGACAATCTGCATTTAACATTTGTTTTGCTTCTTGGTCAAGATTTGAACACAAAATGAGACTTCAACATCACATGCGTGCTTTTCAAGAGGCTTCCTGTACGGCCATGTTTTCCACACTCACAAGCTCAGTTATTCAACTATTCCTTGTACGGCCGTTTTCGTATATAACGGGCCTACTCCAAGAAGGGCACTTGGGTATGTTAAATGGTGGTAGATATAGCGTGGATGCGCCGTCGTTTTATGACCACAATCGATAAGGATGTCCCACCAACCGTATTCAACAGTCGTCCGTCTACGAGCGGGTTTTTAAGCTAAGGCAAACACGGCTGCCTACCTGGAGAAAACAGTCGGACGAATTTATCTTGTCATTCGGTATAATAGCCACTGATGTTACTTGGGTGGGGTAAGCGATGGGTTCTTGCGCAAAGTGAAAAGTGATGATAGGTTTATAATGAAACAATGTGATTGATGGTAGAGAGACAGAGTTACGTTCGGTGTTTCATAATTATTAGTTTCTAAGCGGCGAGCCGTTTCCAGTTTATTGTGCGAAGAAGGCAGGGGAATTGGTTTACGTTGTCAAAGGACAGTTCCTTTACAAAAGAGAAAAACATAACGAGAAATCGAGAAATGTAATGGAAAGCAAAACTCGATCACGTACAACTTCTCTACAGTTGGTCATTTATTTTTGTTCTCCGTAATATATTTTATTGCCTCTTGTTTGCCATTTGCATTGTTAATTTGAGCTGAGATACCTATGTGGGGGCGAATGAATAATTTTGAAACTTCCACCTGTCATTCAAATTCTCTTCAAACTGAAGGAACAATCGAAGTTAGTTCACGGTAATACAGTCAGATGACATTCAACCTAGGATTTATAGGATTTGTAAACTGTATTTGCCACGCCCACAGAAAGATTAATTTTGTATAAGCATGCATGCCATCAATCCTAGCTTGAATTTCACAACATTTTAAAGGAGCCACATTTTCAAAAGTTTGGTAATTCTAATCACGGAGAAACAGCCTCAGTTAAGGACCAGAAAAACTGATACAAAATCTGAATGTAGGCAATGTGTCAAGTTCCCAAACTGAAAACGAAACGCAAACTCATCCTCGATTCACAGCCGAATTACGTCTAACGCCCAAGTTCAAATTCCAAGGTACTGATTGCTTCGCTATGGCTGCATCCGAATCTCTTGTCTAGAGCTAGGTCTTGGTATTCACTCCATTGGAAATGCATGGAGACGCGCAGACAATAGACCTAGCCGTAGCTCTGGAAGCCCGTTTCGGACACGGCATGTGTTTCATTTCTATGACCGTTTAAACTATGTTTCAGAATCTCCCAAGAGAAGCTCCTTATATTATAATTTAGTGGTTGAAACTTGAGCACAATTTGAAGAAAAACTGTCTTTTCTGCCGCACAATTCTGAAAATTTTCCAAAACAGGGTCAGAATGATTGATTTCCCCCCAATTTTTCCAGCTTCCATACTACAGTCCCGAACCCGTCTAGGTACTAAAGGCACCCTCAAAAACGTCAATACTCTAATAATTACCTGGGGTCTTACACTTTGTTTATATAACCATGATATTGATCTTGAGAACTCTCAAGAGCCCTAGATTTTCAGTTTTTATATATCGAGTTTTCCCTTAGAAAAACAGTTTGTGTATATGCCCGCCAATGGAAAAATGTGGAAATATCGATTGAGAGCTAAAGTGAAGTCAAGGTATCTGCTAAGGTATATTTGTCTTATGATTACCATGCAATATGTCTTGGTGCTGGGGAAAATAAACCCAACGTGAGTTAAACTTAACAGTTCATTACATCAGAGCCACTGTCATACTTTGAAACTTCTTCGCTCTTAGGGACCTTTTCTAATCAAAGCTGCGATTGAGGAGAGTGTAATTTCCATTCAAATTACATCTTAAGCCAAGATTCAAATCAACGAACTTTAAATGATGGGTTTTTGAATGCTGGCCGTGTGTAAGTCACAAACAACATCGTGAGTAAGACACTCAGCAGATAACAAAGTTTTATCTACAAGGAGCGAGGCCAAGTGAGATTTATGGAAAAAACACATGAGCCTCAAGATGTTTTTCGCATCACATCACAGTTGAGAGAGCCTCCTTCAGGGCTCAGAGGCCACTGATCTAAGTACGTACATTGGTTATCTGAAGAGATGATTAATAATTTTGATGATGCAAGACAATGTTGACATGTCACTATATGACTAAAAAATCGTAAATTATAGATACACATAAAAAAACAGGATGATACATTAGCAGACAAAAGCTAAATAAAATTACAAAGTTGTCCAACTAAATCAAGCATGAAAAATGTTCTTATCAGATGGCCATGTTTGACAAGGTTTGACAAGGTTTGGCAAAGGCGGTGTGGATGAGCAATGGTACGCTTAGACTATACCGTGCTAGGTTAATAAGATTAAAATGTATGTAAAATCAAACAAACTTTATGGAGATTTCAGTCAGATATTACAATTCAAACTTACCAGGCTGAACGTGTCTTAACTCCGTTCGTCCAACGGGATTTGTAACCAAAAAATGGAAGGCTCGCTCAGAAGGAGTACTGGCTGACCGCTTATGATGGTGTTTGGCAGGTGATCTCGCCGGGGATTTGACTGGGGACTGAATGATAGCCGTGGTGGACTCTGAGTTTTTGAGTTTCCTTCGCCAGCCCTCACAGCAGCAACAGAGCATATCCAGAACGGCAATAATCCCCATGGCAACTGACCTCGGGAGGGGGTTAGAGAGGGTCGAGTCTTTCAAACGTGGAGGCGAAAATGACCCACTACAACACTCAAGGCAACTCCCACGGACACGACAGCAACCTGATTTATCCCTTTATTTCAAAACAAGGCCCAGATCTTCCTTGATATCACACACTTCGAAGCGGTTTAGGGTTTCCAGTCCCAGCCGCAGAAGGGAAAGGGAGGCCGTTCTTCACTCGACTCCCGACTACAGACAGGCAGAGAGTTTGGTTGAGCGAGTGTGTAGGTGTGTTATCCGGATATCCAGCTGACGGCGTCGGCCGAGCATGTGAAGGCGGTCCCTGTAGGCGAGGGGAGAAAATTGTTGCCGGATCCCACATGCATTGGGGCTCTATCCAATCTAAGATCTGAGAACAGGGGCGAAAAAAGGATTTGACATTAATGCACTCACATGGTCACAGACGAGTTCGTGATTTGGACACATTAACCTGCACTTGACTACACGACAGAACGGTTTCGTGCAGGTGACTGTAAGTAAAATGTAATCATCTAAATTGGATACAGATACAAAACAAGTTTCAAGACGGTAGTTCTTTTTAATGTTCGCTCAATCTCCAAGAACTGGAGACATTCAAACAAACCTTATAGTCGTAAATAACATCAAAGTATTCTAAATCGTCTAGGAAAGATTTTCTTTCCTTGTGCGAACTTAAAGTAGAGTTGGAACCATTTCCCTTCTGTGTAATGAGACTTCATAACGCCTGCCCTTCTTTTTATTGAAAAAGCACCCTCTTGCAAAATGGCGGCATAAACAAATGACGTCATATGATTTTTTTTAAGGCCAAGCAACATCTCGGTATATATAAGGAAAACCACGATGGCGTACAGCAATATCCTTGTGAGGACAAGTTTCATCCAAGCAGTAATATGCAGTTCAGTAAGCCCTTCCTCACGATATATGTTCCTCTGAGGTGAACAATGTTATTTCTTGCCGGTTGCCGCTGAGTGTACAAAGATAACAAACAAGTCAGTCGAGCTAGCAAGCGACCAAGAGAGCTAGAAAATGTCATTTCTTTGTTTCAAGGAACTATGAAGGGAGTACTTTTCCTGCAGAGGGAAGAATATTTGGGTGTGATTCGTCTAACGTTGCAAATCACGTAATTACTTAACGCTCTATGCAAGAACTCAACCAGATAAGCATTAGACCCTAGGAAGTTACAGCACTTCTGTAAGATGTGGATATCCATTGCAGGTTTTCTCTTCTGAATACTGCATCATTTTAAGGCGACAAACATTACGTTAGAGCAAATACTGATATCCTTACTTCATAAAAAAATGCTAGGGGCTAGATAAGTATGCAAATGTTATACATAGTCTCTGTTACCAGAGGTTGAAGATCAGGTAAATGATATCATAAGATATATATTAATATGATATATAATATTGACAGAGACTATGAATGTTTGTGCCCAAATATAATATTATAATTATAGGGCATTAGCATCAAAAACTTTACAATGCTCGTATGTGAAATACATAATGTACAATCACAATAGCAGTTTATAAATCGGCAAAATGAAAACACAAAAAAAGTTGCATGTCCCAAGAAATTACTTGCAGCTCTCAAAATCGTCCTTGTTCTACAATCAATCCAAACAAATTATTCTGTACCACAATGGCTGATTCAAGTCTGTACTCCTTCTTAACAAGTTAGAGATATCTATTTTTGTTCTGTTGCGTAAATACATAACAGGAAATGAAGACCCAGTGAACAAATTTTGCTTGCCGATGTCCCTGTGAAGATTTGTATTTGAGGACGTAGACGTCCCATAAAGGAGAGTGCACTTTTTCAATTAGTTTGTACAGGCCGGTGTTTTTGCCGTCTGTTTGTGATTGTAGTGCTAGACAAATGTGAACATGGCCCCACGCATTAAATGACGTCCGAGACATTCTGATTAGATACACACAGTGCAGTGATGCATAAACTGTACGTAGTACGTACAACTGCAGGTTGTTTTCATGGACGGCACATACAAGTTCTGCATAAACGTTGGGTGGTAAAAAAGAAGTCGTGTATACTTGCAGCTGTAAAAAATAGGACCCTCTCTTTATTTGAAACTAATATTTGACTTGTACCTTTGCAAAATATAATTTGATACTGCAAAGCGACAAGCTAAACACAACGACGTACAAACTGCTTCCAAAGCCCACCTCAATATCGCATTCTAACGCATAGTGAAACACAACAATTCACAATTGATATTTTCAAAATAAGACGGAACAGACAGACGAAAAAATAGGCTCTGTCACAGAAAACGCGCATATAGCCATATGCGAATTGCATATTGCGTGTAATGTGAAATACATCGCGACAGTTGCTAATTCCAAGTTGACCTCGGGAATGGAATTTAATTAAATTGTAATGGAGGCATTACACCCATTTTCCTCAGCTCATTAGTTCAACTTGTTTGTGATGACTAATAAAAAATTAACACGCAGTGCTCATCCTCAGCCATGCGGCATGCACGGACATCTGCTGTAGACAGCTTTAAAATATGATACTCACTGCATCGTGTCGAGCCTGTCACAAGCATTTGTACATTAAGGAAGAAGACACTGTCCCAAATAATACCTATATATTCTCCTCAACTAAATATTCATGATTACGGTTTGGTATATAAAGCTGTACAGGTCTCCTATAAATAAAATACAAGTGAATTGGAATGCATACCAGGGGCTCATATTTGACTGACGAAATTAAGAGACTAAATGGGACGAATACAAATTAATTATGCATGGATATGTAATATGTACCATGCTATTATACGTCAGTAGCACATGAGATAATGCGCCATGAAAATTCAAGCAGATTATTAATTAATACTGATTTATTAACATTAATACTGAGATCCTATATACTTCAATGAACAAAGAGGGAAGAGGACTGGACAATGTTATTCTAACATCACTGCAACTTTACTTTGATTCTCAAATATTTACAAGCCTACCTAGCTCGAGTAGACGGGCGTACGTCTTGTTGAAACTGTAGCTCTGTCGATGCTTTCAGTGAGCGAATGAAATGAAACAGCAAATCCACCTGTTTAAATACATAGTTGCCATTCCCTATGTCAGCATTTATTGTAATCTGCCTGGCTAGCTTAACGGGTTGGGCATACTAATTAATCACCACAAATTAATCTCCATAATGGAATCTGGAACTATTAAGTGCAATTAGATCAACTACCGTGCGTCAGCATGAAGACTTTCGACCCTCAGTGTCTGACAGAGACTCCCGTCAAATCTGAAGGGAAAACGTTTATTTTTTATTCCATGAAATTACTACTCTGCATAATTTCACTTGCGCTCTTGATCGAACACGTCCTGTGCCATTTACCAATAACGAAATCTACTGTCGACATTCCACGGCTAAGCAATGACGATATAATGTCTGAGCACTTCAATACGAAGATTTTTCATTTGAGATTGTTCGATTCAATGAGTGATACATTATAGGCAGGTTCTGTTGAAACCTCAATTTTTTCCAAGCGCTAATCCTACAAGTCATACCAAGCGGTGAATGGTGCAATATGACAAAACAAAATATATGACATTAAGTCATGTCAACACGTCATAAATTTCAAATGAACATAATTACATTTTGCACACAGAAAACTGCAAGTTACACAATCAGCGGAATAGTCATGTTCTTTATATTCACCGCAAATACAGTTCTGGGGAAAGGTGAATAAACCTTATGCTCGTGGGCGAACTTTTCCGCCATGCCATAAAAGTGATCATAATATATGCCTAGGCTGTTTAGATAAGCTTTTGATGCATTACTATACATTACATTTACATTATATTACCTTTACATTATGCATCCAACTGCATGCCGTGTGCAAAGAATGTAGACTGTTGGCTAAATTGACTAGGCTGTTCTTCATCACAGAAAGAATACGGGTACTTCACAATAGTGCTCCTCCAAGAGTCTGCAACGCATTGGCAAATCACAATGCGCGAAATCTGTCGACCCAATGAGCGTTTAGAAAGGGTCGTCAGATTTTGCGCCATGTGATTGGCCAACACGTTGCAAAGCTTTGGAAGCGCACTATTGTGAATTGCCCATATTAAACGTTGACAAAGGTGCTCCTTGTAGAGTACATTATCAGCATTGCAAGGCCTAAGCATGACACTAGTTCCTCAGTATATGCAGGAAACAAATGAAATTCCACCGCTGCTGTAACCTAACACTGGAACATTGTTTGTAATATCTACTGGGGCAAGAAGGGTTGAATTCAGTCGTGTGAGGCATGCAGAGAACAGCCCCCAACCCCTGCTTTTTCTTCATGCATTATGCGCCCATATGACGTACTTAGTAGATGATCACAAATCTGTGAACGTCATTCTACAATCCAATGAAGTTAAAATTCTGCAGAAGTTGTAGACATGTATTCTTAAATCGTTTTACCATTTAAATTATCAGATTGCAATGTTCCGCATTAAGATTAATTCCTTGCGTATTGTCAATTGTGGTAACGTTAGGCTTAGAAAATGAAAAGAAACACCAACATGTGACGAAATACTAATTTTGGCACTAGGCCTATGTAATTTAAAGAATGACTTTTGTTTCTTTGACAAATTCGATCTTAAGCTGGAATTCCGATCGCAACATTTTTCTATCAAACTCTATGTTCATTATCTTGAATTTTAAACGGCACAACATATGGCGTGACTCGTGTGCAAAAGTTGTTACCACTGCGCCAGAAAGTTTTGTGTTTTTTTGCTGCGACTTCGCTTTAAAGCAGTCTATTCATCTGTTTGTGATGGGAAGACAGTGCCTATCACACGTCTCTAGTCTGTCCGTAGTCCGTAGTGATGGCAGTGCCGATGCTACAAAGAGTCCGAGGCCTCTACTTTCACGCCAAATCTCGCAAACCATGACCAAGAAGGCGAGTCCCGGATGTCAGGTTTATGGCTAGCTTCCTCACGCCTCCACTGAGTACAATGTTGATAGTTGCAATTACACAAGGCCGTGATTTACATGAAAATGCTTGAGTGGATGGGCTATTGAATTTTTCTAGAATCAACTTTTACCAACTAGAAATTGGTCGGCTTGGCTTCAAGATAATGTTAACTTACCGTGTCAAAGATCAAAGGCGAGATGTAACAAAGCAAACTTAGTATTGTTACAGATTTCTTTTCGTATGATAGACGTCTCCACGCGTATGTTTTTCTACCATTTTTATCCCAAAATACGGGCGTTCACAATATTGCGCCACCAAGAGTTTGCAACACGTTGGCCGATCACAATACGCGAAATCTGTCGACCCAAAGCGCGTTTGGAACAGTCGACAAATTTCGCGCGTTGTGATTGGCCAACGCGTTGCAAACTCTTGGAGGCGCACTA